TATTTCTCAATGGCTGCAACAATGCAGTCAGAGGGAAGGAGAAATGATTGCTTTTATAGCCTTTATGGGTGTAAAAGCAATCAGTGTAAAAAAACAAAAAAAACTTCATCACCCCCCCCACAAGTAGTACAGTGTCACCATGGTGACCCTGTACTGCTAGGGTGACAGTATGTTAAAAAAATTTAAAAAAAAATTATAATTTTTGGTTATTAACTATTTTGGGTTATTTTTTGTTTTACTAAAAAGATAACTGAATAACGTTTGGCCAAGATTTATTAAGAAAGATGATTTGCAAAATTTTTTTTTCAAAATTTTTGTACATTTTCATTTATATAGCAAAAGCAATAAAAAAAACCCCAGTGGAGAAAAATACCACCAAAAAAAAGTTTTATCTGTCTCAAAAAATTCATATGGGTACAGTGTTGCATGACCGCAAAATTGTCAAAGTTGACAGCGCTGAAAGCTGAAAATTGGCCTGGACAGGAAAGGGGTTAAAAGTGTCTGGACTTGAAAAGGTCAAAAAAATGAACATTTCCAACTTACCTAGCTGTGGGGGAAAGTAACATTTTAAAAAGTCTGTGACATCATCGATTTCCAGAGTAAAATGTAGCTATGCCTGGGCACCCATAGGATGGATCAAATATGTGCCACAGTCATATCCTCTGTATGGCACATCTGGAAGAAAGCCCCATCATGCAGCGGCACATGTTCGCTATCAACGAGTGGGCAACCCAGACCAGGAATTTCCTGGACCATCAGTAAATGTAGTCTGTAACAGTGGGAGAGCCTCATTTCTGGGCTGGAGGACATTGTGCTTCATCTAACACTTCCACCCCAGACTGGCTGTCTCTGGTCCACCTCTTTTATTTATTGGATTTCTGCTCTATCAGTTAAGGAAACTCATATGTGGGAATTACCTGGGGTGTCTGCAGTGGTGTATTTTTTTTTTTTTTTTAGGGCCTAGGGCAGCAAAAAACCTAAACTGGATGCGCCCCCCCCCCCCAAGCCAGCATCTGCCACCCACCCGACCCGTTGCCCGCGCCCACCCCTGCTATAGAGAGATAGACTCACCTTCACAGCTCCAGACATTTCATTGCCCTCCCCTCTCTACATGGCAAATGTCAAGAAGTACCAATTTTTGGATGCGTGCCCTCCCCCCCACCCAGCACACAGTCTACTCTCTCTCCCAACTCAACATTCTGTGAGAGGGAAAGGGAGGAGACTGCATATGCTCAGCTACTCATTTCTGTGCCCTTCCAACTCCATCCTGCAGATCCCCAGCAGCACCACCTCCAGCCAGCATCATCTCCTTCCCCTCCCCCAGGCCGGGCTCCCTCTCTCCTCCACAGACAGCACCCATCCCTCTGCTCCATTCTCCCCGAATCCCCATACAGACAATGGACAGAGTCGAGGTAAGGCAGCACTCACAGATCAGCGGAGGCTCCTCCTCTCTTCCGACTCGTGTGTGCCCTGCAGATCTGGCTGCTCAGTGATCCCAATTCCTGGGGGTGTGGCCGGATAAAAGAGAGGAGATGAGGGGTTGGCTAATGCTAACGTCAAATGGGCAGAGCAGCCCACACATCACGGCACGGCATCTGCAAGCGATTCGGTTTGGGGAGTAGGAAACTGGACACCTTCTCCTCCTGTCCTCCAGCAGGCTATCACGAATCAGACCCATTCCCATGCAGGTGGCGGAGTCATGCAAGCCTACATAATGGCTCTACTCTCTGATCACTGCTGACAAGGGGGGCAGTGCCGGTGCCACCCCCCTGAAAAATGCCACCCTAGGCAAATGCCTAGTTTGCCTCACAGCAAATTTCCCCCTGGGTGTCTGCATGAAAATACAGCCTGTCCAGGAATGGCCACGCCTCCAGACTCACAATCCACCAAACAAGGCATTTTTATGTTTTCAACTCCTCCAAGATCCAGCCCACCACTTGCATCAGGACTAAGGGCTCTCGAGAGGAGTACTGAGGCAGGGTGCTGTGATGTTTCCACCTGACTTAACAAGGGGCTAAACATGGTCTGAAATATTTCAATGTAAATTGGAAACATTACTTTTTTTTCCTGCCATATATGGAAGTGATTTGTTGTCACCATAGATGATAAGCTTTGAGTTCAACAGAGGCATTGTTGTCATTTCAAACCAGAATTTAGGTGCTCACAGGAGTTTGGCAGGATCAGTATGCATTTTTTTTTTTTTTTCTGTTCAGAGAAAATTCAAGAGCCCCACCCAGTGCACAGGAGGAGTAATTACTCATATATGTACAAGTTACATCCCACATGTACCAGGCAGGGGTCTTGTTCATCCACTGGGGATAGTCCAGATTTGTCATGTAAGAAAAATATAAAAAAAATATTGTTAGAGCAAAATAAAAAAAATTATCTGTGAACAGCAAACATGAAAGCAGAATTTTATGGTAATCAACGGCACAGGGTCAGTTCTCAAAGATTACTTATAGAATGACTGAATATCCCAATAAAAATTGATCTACATTATGTATATATGAAATGTTAAAGATTTATAAAGTTTCAGAAACTGCCTATATAAGTGGTTTGTGTAAATTAGAAAATGGCCCTAGAATAGAGAATCATAGTTAAGACAACAAAGGCAGAGAGGCCTACATTAACCAAAAGAAACCATCCTTCACTGGTTTTCCTTTTTTTGATAATAGATTGATTAAACACACACTCGAGTTGTGTTTAATCAATCTATTATCAAAAAAAGGAAAACCAGTGAAGGATGGTTTCTTTTGTTACTGCACTAGAGATGTAATATCTGTTCTTTACAATGCTAGATTAAAATTAATTGGTTAATCATTTAAAATATTTAATAGTAAAATGCTAACAGCATACCCAACAAGAGTCCTGCTATTGCCATTGCAAGCCTAGAAGAACTTTTGTATCAACCTCTATGATTCTAGCTTCACTTTAGTACTCTGAACCGCAAGGCTTAGCCCCACCACTCTAGGAATGGCCAACAAAAAAGTGATACCATTGGCATATAGTACCTCACAGGAAGGACACATAGCATGCAGGTCTAGAATGTACCCCAGTAATGCTTGTAATAGTTTAGAAGTTGGATGAATGATTTAATACATTACAGCATTCTTGGTAGTGAAATAGTACACTTTTACAGGAATCTGTACATCAGAAAAGGGACAACTGAAGAAATTAGAAAGAGAGGGATTTAGTTCAAAAAATGGATAATCCCAGCCTTTGGGTGGAGACACAATGCCTTTAGTGACAAACTAAAATCAGTGTTGGAACATGACTACACACTTAGTGAAGATCTGCCAGTGTGACATGGACCCTAAATATTTGAATTGTGGAGTTGATACTACGAAATACAAAATTATATGACCCATTTATTTCCTCAAGAAAGCCACATACCTGAGAAAGTTGACCATATGTGATGTTCTTTCACCATCACTCGATTTTTGTTCATGCAATTTCTACTTCTGCACCAACACGTAAAGAGAATTCATCAAACATGATTGGTGCCTCTGCCATGCTGACCTTCTCTGGCTCTGGAGACATCTCAGACTGAGATCCAGAAGTGTCTGTGTTCAAAGGGGAAGACAAGGAGCTGGGAGCTGATGTGATGTTCTGTGAAGTGTTTATATAAGAGGCCAATGGTTGCTCAGACTAAAGAAGAAATAGTTTCTATGAGATTCTCATAATCTGCTTCTGTGTCTGAATCCGGAGTTTCTTCTTTCCAGGTTTCGCTCAGGTGTTGAAGACTTCCGTTGTTTGACCTCTTCTGGTAAAATCAATTGCCAAAAGATCACAAAACATCCTTCGTATCCCAGTGGGAACCTTTCTCCATGCTTCAGGAGGATCATCTGTCTGAAAAGTGTTTTGACAGTCAACAAACTCTTTGTATCCTTCATCATCAAGGTTGGCCACTTGCCATGGAAACTCCCCTGTGAGGAGGCAGTATATGGCTACACCAAATGCCCACACATCAAAACTGCCATCTACAACCAGTCCATTGGAAATGGTCATCTCATGCAATTCTGGGGCCATGTAGTGTTTGCTGCCACACCTGGCTATAATTACTGTCCCTTTGACCTTAGCAAGGCCAAAGTCTGTAACCTTGACACAATGGCAGTCCCGGTCAAACACCAAGACATTTTCTGGCTTCAGGTCCATGTGGACGAGTCCTTTTTCCGCTATGAACTCGAGAGCACTGGAAATCTGCACAGCACACCTCTTTACTGCAGCTTCTGGAATTCCCACCTAGAAAAAAAAAAAAAAAAAATACAATAGATGTTAAATACAGTAGTGTATATTATAAGGAGAAAAAGAATCAATAGAAGTCTATGTATGACCATAACATTTGTTTTTTTTTTTAGTTTTAGGGTAGGAGTGGATTCCATTGTTGGATGTGTCCCTCCCTAGGAAGATTCACTTTCACTAAATGTCTTGGTGACCACTGTCATTAAAACAAAGTGATGATGGGAAATGCAGAATTTTAGTTTTAACTCTTATTTATTCAAGCCTAAAAAATGGGCATACCTGCACCTTAATGTACTTACATTTGGAAAAATCATGGAGAACAGATCACCAGCAGGGGCCAGTTCTTGGGCAAAGATGAAGTAGTCGATGGTGGAGAAGAATAAGCCACAAGATCCGATGATATTTTGATGAGCAGAAAGAAAGTACGAAATGCTGAATTCATGGAGGAAAGACTGCTGACTGGTCCTGTCTTTATCCATCACCTTCATTGCCATACTTTTACCTGTGGAAAAAATGAAATAACTTGGATCAACAACTGGAAATTTACAACTGATCATTTCTGTATGTTTTACTTAAACAAATTGGAGATTTTAAACAATCAGTATTGCTCTTTACTGTTTATATCAATGGTACAAATAACTCAGAAAAAGCTGAAATATGGAGAAACAACATGAAAGAGCATACAGGGTAAAAATCATGAAAACCAAAATGCAAGGAATACAGAATAGGTACCCCCCCAAAAAAACAAAACAAAAAAAAAAAAAAAACAGGCTGTGGAACATATACAGGGATAGCCAGGCAAAAGTAGGCAGCAAAGACATAGCACAGGAAGGCATCACAAGTGCAGAAAAGAAACAGAAAAAGGAATGTACAAAGATCCTCACTGCGTTACCCATGGCTGCCAGATTTTATCATATTTACCTGGACAATTCCTATTAATATAGGTTAGTTTGTACATAGGTAACACAGCATTAATGGCCGTCTCCCGTGATACTAATGTGGGAATAGATGGGAAGGTCCACTTAGAGAATTTTGATTTTTGCATAATACAGGATATATAAACAGTTGTGTAGCTGGGTCTCTGTTCATTGTCCTGTATCCCCAGGAGAGCCAATAAGGTAAGCATGGAAGAGACAGCTATAAATGACTGTTGATTGATTAGGTTACACACCTCATCCCAGAACTGCACTATCCTGGGGCAGGACCAAAATATGTGAAAGTACCCAACAATGGGGCTGCATCTAGCACAGTCTGGAGATCTCTGTGGATAGATTCTGTGTAATACACCCTATGAAAGAACTTGATTTGAATCAATGTGTCCCTCGAGGAGACGACCAACTTGGAACCGTGTTCCAACTCTCTTGCCAGGAGCCCCTATCCAAGGTTGGGATATCAGCCCTCCAATATTCCCAGAGTTAGTCTATTTTATAGGAGATCACCCCAAGTAAAAGTAGAATAGAGTGTGGAAAGCAGCTTAGAGAGACTCCTGCAACAGGAGATCTTCAGTAGCGAAAGTACAACCAGTGGGGCAAACAGACCAAACAGAGAGCTCCTAGAAGGACAAGAGTACTCTGGAGAGCATCATATCTCTAAGGGTTTGGATCCCGTACCAGGCCCAGACAGATGTATCTGGGATGAAAATTATAATAGACTCCTCCTGCGCTATTATGTAGAGTCACAGAGAAAAATATTAGTAATAGGATATAAAAATTAAATTATTAAATTCAAATTATGATATACAAATAACTAATAAAAGTGTATAAATACCAAAAAAAATATTTAAATAGATTGATTAGAGTGGCGCATGCGCGGCCGGCTACGAGATGGACGCGCTGTAGGGTGAGCTCCGTCCATCCGCCAGCATCGTAGCGGCACACACCAGCCCTGGAGGGGGAAATCACCTCAGCTACATCCCTGAAGCGTGCCCGCACCTCACGAGTCATGCCCCGCAGGAGGAAAACCCCGGAGCAGCCGGGGAAACTCACTCAATTCTTCCCGGCCGTCATGCCGGGAATCCAAGATGGCGCCCGCAATTCACACAAGCAGGGGGAAGGAGGCGGCCACGAGGAGGACTACAGGGCCCAGCAAGCGGATCCGAGGCTGCAACACCAGCTATACCCAGGGGACCCTGGTGAGTTGTCACCCCCAATGTCCCCCACGACTAGCAGCCCTGCCAAAATCTCGGCCACGACTGGACCAGGACCCTGACCCCTCATATCAGGCCTCAAACCTTCCTCCTCAGTCACCTCAAATATGCCTGCCTCACATAGATGCATTTCCAGCAGCGGACCAACCACTAACAGAAATAAGTATGAAAAATATGCTAGCGTCACTACGTCAAACACTGCACAATGACATCTCTGCATCATTAAATCAAATTACTAACGCAATACAACGACAAGAACACAGAATTCGCCATATTGAATCTAGCATGGGTGACATAATCACGGCTCACAATGACATGATTGACGCACATGCAGACCACTCATCTGATATAGAACAAATCAACCTCAAGTTAGCCGACTTAGAGGATCGATCACGCCGTAACAATATTAAATTCAGAGGGATCCCTGAATCAGTCACCAACGATTCACTGCTACTTTACCTACAGCAATTCATTAAAATCCTTATTCCGTCACTCTCTGATGTAGAACTGGCGATTGATCGAGCTCACCGGTTACCTAAACCCACATTCTTGGCGGCATCTATTCCAAGAGATGTACTAGCCCGCATACATACATTTCTACCACGTCAAAGAGAAAATTATGACGACGGCCAGAAACCCTCCACCATTACTGCCATCCCACACAAACCTCAAATTATATGCAGACCTGTCCAAAGCCACACTTCTTAACAGGAAAAAAATGGTCTCTATTACTAAAGCTTTGAGAAACCATGGTATAGCATACCAATGGGGCTTCCCCACAAAACTAACGGTACGACAACAAGGCAGGATCTATACTATCAAATCTCTAGCAGCAGGCTTAGACCTACTCAAAGTCTGGAATATCCTACCCGCAGACCCACAAGAAAATGCACCTGGCTCTATCCAAAATATGGAAGCATCATAACGGGCACCATGACAATTTCTATTATCAAGCACTTCTGCATCTCCCTCCAGAGGCCACCTTTTGATATATCAATATCTGGCGATCGGCCTAGATCCGACGAAGATTACTACACCAGTTTACAGTTGTCATGACCCTTCAGGAGGTCAAAGCCTGTTCATACCCCCCATCTTTGTAGTAGCAATGCATGCTACTCGGTTTACTTGCGTTTTACGCAAGTGGTTTTTTATCGTTCTTTACTTCCTTATCCTTCTCCCTTTAAGACACGACCAGCTACGCATCTATGCCACAAGTTCCACAACCCTCAAATTTACAAGGAAAATGCATTCTGCCTCTCCAATCGAGCCTACTATATACCATAGTTACACTATTACTTTCCTCCTCAGCAAAACAACTACTGAGTCAATACTCTCTCAAACAACAACCCAACTAAACAGATACCTAGCAAATAGATTTATTAATGATTAACATTACATCTCTCAACGTCCGAGGCCTAAACTCTCCTTTCAAGAGATCAATGCTCTCCAGAGAAGCCCGAAAATCCCAAGCAGACATTCTTTTCATACAAGAGTCACATTTTGCTACTGAGAAGACCCCTAAGTTATATCTCCACCGTTTTTCTCAATTGTTCATGGCTACCAACATCAAAAAGAAAAATGGAGTTATCACGGCCATTAATGACTCTCTCTCATTTCGCACTATTTCCAGCATAGCCGACCCACAAGGACGCTACCATGTCTTGATTTGCCAAATAAATGACTTAACCCATACCCTGGTGAACATTTACGGTCCAAATAATAAACAGATGCAATTTTACCGCAAACTCTACAAAGTCATCTCGCAGTATAAACAAGGCAGACTCATCATAGGTGGTGATTTTAATGTTCTGGGTAACCCACTTATGGACTCATCTTCCAATAAAAAACCTGCCAAACTTAACTTTAACCAATTCCTACATGACCATGACTTGTACGACATCTGGAGATGTCAACATGGAACCGAGAAGGATTATACCTACTACTCACCCCCACACCTATCATACTCAAGAATTGATATGTTTGTTACCGACAAATGGACATTACAACAAGTGACATCCTCCACTATTGGAACTATAACATGGTCGGACCATGCTCCAATCAACATATCTTTAGACGACAACCGACGCACAACGATCCCGCCTATTTGGAGACTTGATTCTTCAATCCTGAAATCTCCAGAAAATCAGAAACATATACTTGAAGCCCATAACCTTTTCTTTGAAACTAATGCTACCCCTGATATCTCTATTACTACACTTTGGCTAACATACAAAGCTTACATGAGAGGTATCCTCATACAATTAAACTCTCGAATCAAAAGACAACGGTCCCAACAAATTGACCGACTACTGACTTCCATCCACATAAATGAAGAAATAAACAAAAAAAAAAACCCAAATCCTTCCACATCCGCAGCCCTAAACACTGACAGAAATAAATTGCGCACCATTTTTTACTACACACGTATGACACTAATCTCCAAAAAACGAAAACCAAATTTTACTCGCTTAGTAACAAACCAAACTCCCTCCTCATTAAAATCATCAAACAAAGACGACTCAAATCTAAAATATTCACGATTCATCACCCTGCCACACACTCTCCAGTGACAAACCCATTAGATATAGCCAACGCTTTTGCTTCTTACTATCAAAACCTATACAATATAAAAGACGATCCGAACACTGTCCAACCAACAATTCCCTCTATTGAAAAATTTCTACAGACCACGAATCTCCCCCAACTCACTTTACCACAACTTGAATCTATCTCTGTGCCGATTTCACCCACAGAGATTGGAAAAACCATAAACTCCCTACCTCTAAACAAATCACCAGGGAACGATGGATTCACTAACGAATTTTACAAAACATTTGCATCTAACCTTTCATCACATCTCTCCGACCTATATAACCAAGTTGCTTCTAATGGAAAATTCCCCTCTGACATGCTACAATCATTAATTACCACTATTCCAAAACCGGGCAAAGACCCCCAATTAGTCCAGAATTACAGACCGATCTCATTACTTAATACGGACATAAAAATATATGCCAAAATAATTGCCTTGCGTCTACTCCCATATCTACCCACACTAATTCACCCAGACCAAGTGGGATTTATACCTGGTAGACAGGCCCCTGACGCTACTAGACAAATTATATCCCTAATACACCAACTAGAATCTGATAACCAACCTTCTCTTTTTCTATCACTCGAAGCAGAAAAAGCATTTGATCGAATTCACTGGCAATTCATGATACTTACACTCCGGAAATATGGAATAACAGACTGGATGCTATCGGCGATCCTATCCCTATACTCTAACCCTACTGCTAGAGTACTGACCAATGGCACACTTTCACAGCCCTTCAGCATATCAAACGG